ATTTTCGGGCACATGCTACCTTGCTTTCAGCCATTTTTTACACTTCATTTTTGTCCATCCGCTTTCAGATGTAACTAATCTCCCCTGGGTGATTCCAGCATTGCTTCATAAACCGTCCTGCTGCACATTCTATAATAAAAAATACGCCATAACAATATTTAACAAGGAAAAGAGGAATAGGAAGTGGTACATCTGCACAATGGATGTAATATAGTATTGACTTGGAATTTCCTGACTTCAGCACTCCCTCCAAAGTAATAATGCATTAATAAAATTACACTTAGCTTTCTGCTTTCAAAAGGAAAATACTTGAAAACAAAAGTCTCTTCATCTTCCAAGTTCTTCTGGCTCTGTGTGTGAGATGGTGAAAATAACACAGGACTGTGTAACCACAGCAAACAAGTGGGGTGAGAATTCTGTAGCAGCTTGGCTGGCCTGAAGGAGAGTGCTAGTGAAGGAGCAGCCTGGATTTTGGATTTAATAGGTGGATTGCCACCTCCCCCCCCCCCGACCCCCCCCCCCCAACCCACTCCCCCCCGTCCCCCCATCCCCATTCATTTCTATGGATGAAAATAAAATGAGTCTGTTCAGGCAGAGCTATGGTGACCTATAAGTAAAGATGTCTGACATTTCCATTATAAGAGGCAGGGTTTAATTGGCTATAACTTCAACTGTTGGTTGGTTGGAATTTTAATTGATTAGGCAGGACTTTCCTTTTCTGGATATCTCCTGCAATCTGACTTCTTTTTTGAGAGAGGGAAGCAGCAGAGAGGGTAAGGAGTTCATCAGTATCTATAAAGCAATTGAGCAAAAATGAAGTATTTTGACCATATAGAGAAGCTCTAAATGCATTGCTTAAAATTGGCAAAGAAGTCACGCTCTTCTGCTTTCTGTGGAAAATTTCAGCTGATACACTGACAGTAGAAATTTGTTCAAATTTAGCACACGGATGTGCAAAAAAACTCCATTTACCCTGAGCATGCTCCAAAGCAGGGACAGAATTAACTCACTGAGGAGCACTTGATTGATCCACCAGTAAAAATGCTGAAAGACAGCAGAAGTATGTACATATCTAATCTCCCAGCACTTTTAACTTTTGTGAGGCTCAGCTAGTGGAATGTATAAAGTTATTTTTCTTCCCTGTTTTACCAGTAAAATTCCTTGGTATAGACAAAAATTTGAAGTATAGATTTTATTCTTTATCTTTTAAATTAACCTTGCCTTTAGAATCGCTGTGAAACAAAGTACATGACCCTCTGACTCACTGGATTCTTCCTAGGTGTTTTGCTGGAAGGCATTACCAAATGTTCATTGGGTACTGACATTTTTAACCATGTTAATAAAAATATTGACGATGTGTTAAGATTACATAATTTGGGGGTCTTGGTTAGTGGAGATCAATCAACGTTATCTGTATATAGCGCTACATCTTAGCTCGATTCCTCGTGAAGTCTGGTTTTAATATCCAGCCCATTGTTACAAAACAGGGATATTTTTGATGTACCATAGTCAAAGGCTCTTGTCCTCAGAGCTCTACCAAAGTAAATTCCTTTCTGCTCTTCACTGACCATGTATCCTCCCCTATTAGTTTTTTTATGTCTTCAATAAAATTTTATAACAAATAAAAAGGCATGGAATCTTCATTACTACTGGTTAAAAACCAGCCTTGCTGTTGTTTACAGAAGCAGTGCCAATCTTTTGTTTTCATGATAAGAGAGAAAATGTGTTTTCTTTCCTTTGCAGGTTAGTCAGTATGTCAATAATTTAAGATACTGGGGTTTGACACTTCACTGTTTTCCTGTGGAAATATTTGAAGATAAGTTCACCAACCAGCAGGTCTTAAGTAAGACATACTGCTCTTGTTTTAGAACCAGCTCTTAGGGCTGGGTGTACCGTACACTGGCCACCAGAGGCCTGAATGATGGGCTAATGCTGTCATTGCCAAGACTCCCCAAGATGCTGGTGGATATTGGGTCAGGCCCTAGATTATCTGTCTTCTTCCATTTAACGGCAGGCTTAGAGCAAGCCGGAGCAGCTTTTCCTGTGGTGAGCTTAAGTGTGCGATCAGTGCAAACACATACATTCCTGTGGCTTCATTTTACCTAGAAAATCTGGTGGGAGTATGTATGCAACTTAGTCGTGATTGCTGCAAGCTGTGAGTGTGATCAAGAGCACTGCAGAGCTTCAAAACCCTGTTGAAGACTATGTTAAGGTTAATGACATTGGGTATGCAACCGATTTACAGCGTGCTGAAAACATCTCTCCTATATAAGATATAGAAGAACAAACAATGTGAACTGGGACCTTTTTGATGTGGAAGTTTCTGCATCTTAAAGTCATCTAAGAAGTTTTGGGGTTTGGGTTTTGGTTTGTTTTTTTTTTTTCAAACTAAAGATACAGTATTGATTTTCAGTAATTAAAAAATCACAATGTGTATGGTGCTTACAAGTTCTAGAAGCTAAATCAAGGCTTTGTCTGCTGCTTATGTGGTATCTACCTACTGCATGTCCTAGTATTTAGCTTAAGGAGTAAAACTGCTGGCATTATTTTTTTCCATCTGTTCCATAACCTCTTATACGGAGCTTCTAAAAACTCAAGCAGACTAAACAGGTCGCAGTAAAAACAGTAAGGTTGCTTTTCATGTATTCTTTGAATCAGAACTTTTAATTAAAGATTTTAGTTTGTTTGCTGATTAGAAAACAGGTCCACAATGTGGTGTCTATCTTCTTCCATTTGAATCAATAAACAGAGAAGTCATGAGAAAGGGACCTCTTCCCTCCAGGGAGTCTTTTCTTCTTAATGTTGACTCAGGTTTTTAGTGCTTATTCTTGTCTTCTTTCCTGTACTGACTACTTCCCAGTCTTTTCTCTTTCAGTTCCCCCTTGTTTCCCAATGTGAGATCAGTTGCCTTACAGATGGCACGTATGCATTTGTCCTTCACATTTAACTGCTGTGTCGTGAGTGTGGTGCACTTTTCAGCCTGCATTGCAAAAGTAAGCTCTTTAACCAGGCTGAATGGTGCTTTTTAAGCCCATCAAATTTTAAAACGTGAGTTTCATTGAAAGTGAAACAAGAGAAATACTTCACCTATAAATAATGGATATGCCCTTTTAAGTAACTTGTGAGGCCTGTTCGGAATTATCCCGAAGGTTTGCCTCCCACCTGAAAATCACAGTGCTGGCTGAGAAATGAGTACTTCATGTACTTACAACTTGATTAAAGAGAGATAAGTTACAAAATGGTCTCACACTTTTGGTTTGCTGTGTGCTTTGTATGGCATAGTTAGATTTTGTAACTTCTCTTTTATGGTTAGCTGAGTCCAATTCCTGCAAAGACTTAACATGTATATTTAATTTTATTTTGGTTAACTCTCCGTGTTAAGACTTTAGATTTGGAACTCTGATTAGTTTCTTCCTTGCTGAAAAGACCACTATAAATTTCAGTAGGGAAACAGAAAAGTCCCCTAACAATTTTTAAGGAAGCTTTTGAAACAATGATTTGAGGATGCACTATTTAAAGTAAATTGCATCAGGTGCTGGGTTATTATAAAATAAAAAATGTCTGAACAACAGTGACCTGCTTTTTGTGTGTTTGGCTTGCTACTGCACACTAGGAAATTCAGAAACTGATTGTAAAGGAGCAAATAATCAGAAATTCAAGTGTAACCAAATGCTGTGGGGTTTGAGGGCTGCAATTCCCACTCATCTAACCATGAGTGCAGGATATATTGGGTCCCTGCAGATCCTAGACACACCTTGCTTGTGCTCTGTGTTGCTCCTGTGTGTGTCAGCTCTGAAGGGCTTTGCCTGTGATGTGGAAATAAAGGTCAGTGAAAACAAATACCATAAAAGGACACAGTAGAATATTTCAAATTTTAGAGACATTATCTATCTTCAAACCCCCTCACCAGACCTACATTAAAATAATGATCAGAACCCAAATATAGAACATTTGAACTGTCCGTTTCCAGGCCAGATGTGCTGTGTTATGTAATGCCATTTTTGGGTGATTGCTGGTGCTTGGAATGAAAGGAAAATGTATGTTCATTGTAGATATTGTTCCAAAGAGCAAATGTCATAAAAATGTTACAAAAACTCAAGGCCTTAAGCTACAAATTTTAGCAAATGCAAGTTCTACACAGAGCCTTGCCTATATACAGGCTGAACTCTCCAGCAAGGTACAGTCCAGCCCCAGAGGTTATGATGAGAGCCCAAATACATATCCCTACACCAGCACACTTTAGCCAGATACAAAAGCACTGTACCTCCTAAAAGCTTGTTCCTCCAGGCATGGCACATTTCTAAGTTAAATGCATCACAAAAGAAATTTTCTCCATATGCTTTTCAAAACCCTAATAAATAAAAGCCATCCAAGCCAGTAGCTGTTGATATGTATGTGCAACAGGCTTCCCAGAAATACTTTGTAAAGAGAGCATCAATGTTTTCCACTGTTTGCAGGGAGGAAATCCGTTGAGTTCAGACCTCTGTAATCAATCCACACTGCAGAGTCACAAATAGACAAGCAAAGGACAATTGCTGCCCAATTTTTGCACTGCAGATGCATAAATCAGACTCCATTTTCTTCACTGCTTCATATTGCATTCTCAAGGCTATGTGCCAACCTCATGCCTCCATTGGTTATGTAGCTGTCCCCTCTGTCACTGCAGCCAGGGCTGGGATAGCACACTCACCACTTGAAGCATTTCATGGTTGTGATCCTAAGCAGAAGACTAGCATCTACACAGGGCATTGGAGAGTCAGATATACCAAGGGAAAGACTTGAAACATCTACATGAAGTGTCTGAGCACATATAGGGAGCATACCACAGGGGTCACCAAGCTCAGTCAAGTCAGGGAGCATTTCTTCTCTTTCAAATCAGTTTCACTGTGAAGAAAATTTACCTCTTTTTCAGGCATTCTGTAGCAAGAACAAAAATAGGAACCAAATTCTGCCTGGCCTCTCTGCATGGAGGTGAGAGGTGTTGAGGACAGAGGGTGCTGTGCTTCAGTTATGCCTAGGGCACAACCTGCACAGGAACTCATTGTCCTCAACGAGAAATGTGACCTTTAGTGACTCACTTTTTCTCAGAGGGGATGGCAGAGCAGCTACACTCTGCAAGAGCAGCAGGCGAGCCTGCATCTGAGCTCTGCTTCTAGAAGGGGTAAGCCTTGGGATATTTATATTTTAGGCACCCTCTACCTCCACCTTGTAGACTTACAATGCAAGAGAGGATGAATAGTCTTTCCGAGGGCTATATAAGAGAAACCTGCTCCCTCTGGGAGAGGGACTCAGCAGTAAATGGGCAGCATTTGTAGGCTATTAAAGTACCCCCATGGCTTCAAACTCTTTGTCAGGCTGACTTAGGGGTAGGAATAGGTAAGTAGCTCAGGCACAGCAGATAGCAGTAATCTGCCAGCTCTTTTGCCATATGTTTCCTCCCCAGACCCAGCTGACTGGGCCTGTCTGCACCCAGTCCAAGATCTCTGGCTTGGCTCTGGGAAGGCTGGTGTTCTTGCACAGTGCTCAAGTGTTGTTCAGAAAAACAAGTGCTGGTTTTCAAACCCATTTAGTTCTACAAATGTGTTTCATTGCTATGGTATTTCTAGATCTGTGCCCCTTTTCCTTTAGCCTCAATAACATCAATAAGTGAGATTTTTAAAAGAGCAATCATATCTCCTCTTTGGCTTTATTTAGCAGATTCGTTTAGTCCCATAAGGTAGTTTACTCATAACACAAACTGCTTAATCTTCTAACCTTCCTCTGCACCTGTCCCATTTTGACTTTGTCTTTTCCGAATGTGAGCAACCCGGTATTCAAAAGATGTCAGGAGAGGTGTCACCAGTGCCTTGGACAAGAGCCTGAATTCTTCCTATGCTCTACCAACACTTTTTTGTATCCTGTGACAATGTTTTGCATTCTATGATCATGTTTGTAATTTCTCAGGTTTGCAGTGACTGGTAGGCTGTGGTTATCCTGTGATTATCTCCTTCCTCTGCTGTTTCCATTTCATTCTTGTTGTTAGTTGAAGCTCTTGATCTCACACTTTCTACTTTAAAGTTTCAGCTCATTTCTACTACCTCACTCCCTCTTTCTGACCCTTTCTGAAAAGAATATAATATACTGATGATGCCATCTTCTCATGATTATTATCTATTCAGTTTCTTCAAGGTACTGGTATTTTATGTGAAATAATTATGTGAAACTCTGAGAAGGAGAATCAGGCCTCTCTCTTTTTTGAGCTGCATCAATTCAGAGAATCTTAGGCAGCATGTGCCTGCCTGCTGCATCAGGGCTGGTCACCTGTGGAAAGCGAGTGTTGTAGTAGCTGGCAACGCACAGTCTGCAGCTCACAGGGAATCAGGGAATCAGTAGGGGTTTGATGCGATTGATTAAGTGATACTGTACGCAGTCATCAAAAATGGAACTCCATGATGTACACAATGATGTGCTTTGTTCTAATCTTTGCCTACATTATATCAGAGGAATATCTATTTTTAGATAAAATAAATGTAAATGGATATAATCAAGCCTGCCAAAGGTATCTGACTTCCCGGTTGCTGGGTGTAAGATGAGAGAATGTAATTGCCCAGTCCAGTTCCCAATAAAATGTTTTAGAAACTCACAGGTGGAGGATTTGCTGCTTTAGGGGGGCAGTACTGCAGGATTCCAGGTGGTCATGCAGCAGAAGCAGCAGTGATCTGAGTGTCCCACAAAGGTGGGTTTGAAGAAGTGGCAGAGATTTTATAGTAGCTGAAATATAAATAAAGGAGAAAGGCAAATGTCTGAGGATGAGTCAGCCAAGGGGTGAATGCATTTACTCATAAGTGGGCTGTTTTGTAGATCACACTGAGACTTAGAAACCAAGATAAAGCTGTGGAGTCTGTGCTCGAACTTTTTAGAAACCTTTGATTAATTGCTAGAGGATGACATCTAAAATATCCCCGCTCCTTTTCTTCTTTTTTGTATTCAGCTTCCATTTCTTTCACTTTATCTTATCCTGCCTTTTCCTTTTTCTCTCTCTTTTTTCTCCTCTAATTAAATATAAATAAAAAGGACTGCATGTTCTGTGCTGTCACTTATGATATATAACTTCTCACCAGCAATCCCAGATCCAGATTCAGTAGTGGTTTTAACTGACAGTTTGTAATTATATAACGATAGAAGGTTTATAGGTTTCAACTGCGTATCTGCATTTGTTGTCTTCTGGGTAGTTTTTGTTAACTTAACCATGTGTAAATCAGAACTTTCTTACATATCTACATGTATAAATATTTCTGCTTTTAGATCTCATCAGATTAGTGATTTTTAAGTCCCCTCTAGTCCATAAAGCCATGCTAGTATAGCAGTATCAGCCAGGGGAATGATAGTTTGGGGCTTTTTTCCCTTTCTGACTGAAGATAATGAGGTTAATGTGCAGTGAAACTAGAAGAATCTCCATGAAGACTTAACAAAAATTCTTGGTTTTTTTTTTTCTGGGAGAGCTCATTTTCGTCTGGGTAAAGCTCTACAGGTAAGATTACTCTTTTGCTTTCTTGCTTGCTTCACGCACACACACACACGCACCCTTCCAACCGCCTGTAAAACGCTTCTAAACGAGACAAGGCTGCCAGCATGGCTGCAGCAGCTGTCAGCCAACTTCCTGCTGGAGCCAGAGACGACACTTCTCTGGTGCAGCGCTGCCATGGCTTGGACTTTCGGCGTGAGCCGGATTCTTCCACAGCCGCTCAGGCTGGGAGCGGTGGGTCGGCCGTGGGTGAGAGGAGGAGTTGCCGGAGCTGGTACTGCGTGCCTGGGGAGCCTGGGCTATCTCCGGCAGCAGTTCCACCTCTGGCAGGAACCGGCCCTGGGCGGCCGCGGAGCCGATGTGTTTCCCCGCGCCCTGCCAGCTTCAGGCAGACAGAGCAGCCATAGGAACAGCTGCGGAGCAGGAAGAGGACCCAGAAAGAGCTGAAAACCGATGCTGAGCAGCAGCGGTCGGTACGGAGGATGCCTGATGCAGCTCTGCTGCCCTGGTGTTGTGGCAGATTCCCAGCGGGACCGTGCACGCACCACGACGGCAGCGTACGGCCCTCCTGCAGGGGGGCACCTCTGTGCTAAATGTCAGGAAGCAAAACTGAATGCAGTCACCTGTGCTTGAACAGGCGAAAAATCTCTGGGCACCTCACAGCATTTAAAAAACCCCTCAAACCAATTGTAGAATTTTCACAATATAAAACGCAATGACCTGAAGGTGAGATTGCCTTCTTCTTTAGCCCTGCAGTGAGCTGGCTTTCTGAGGAGAGGCCTCTCTTTTATTATCATTCTTCAGTGAGATACTTTGCATTTCTTTACAGAGATGATCTGCATTGCCTCCCCAGAAAACCTGAAATGGTGCCCCCCCCCCCCCCGTTTCTGCTTGGAAAGCCATGCTTGGAAAGCCATGTGACCTCAGCTCCACATACACTTTCCATAGTAAAGGATGCTGTGAAACGGGAAAATCTCTTCCATCCTGGGCCCTATTCACATCTAATTTGGCAATCCCACTTCAGACTAGCAGAAGTACTAAAGACTGGGGAAAGTTAGTTTACACTATTCAGCTACATAGCTCACTGCAGCCTTCCTATTTGGTCTGTATTTACTCCCTTTTAGCATCAGTACTGCTTACTGGGAATTTGTTATGAAGTAAAAACCTTAAATGCAAACTACTTCCCAGGCCAGTTAGAAATATTTAAACACTTCAGGCAGTCAGTCTGTGATTCAGAGATTTATTTTTAAAACTGTTGATTTTGGGACACCAAACCATTGCATTTAAACTGCAGAAGTGAGTCATATTTGTGGGAGGTAATTACTACCAGAAAGTACAACTAACTTTTGTAGGTTTCTCTAGAAAATGTCCACTTATGATCTGCAACTACTAAAAATAACATGCTTTGTTGAATTTCAGCAAAGTTATCTTTACAGAATTACGTGGATTTATACATATATTCTGTTTTCCTGACATATAATAAAATAAATGACTCACATGCCTGAGAATTTATTTGGATGTTTTATGTGGACTGTCCTGACCAGGTAACTTGCTCAGTTTATACTCTTTTCATGAAAACCAGAAACTTCGTGGTAATTACTAGGGAAAAGCAATTTAACATTGGAACAATGATTGTAGCTAGCACTTACAAACAATGTTTGTTCATCAGAAGGGTCTCTGATTTCTTGTATCATCCAAACCCACAATAATTTATTCAATCTGTTTTCTGTGGTTAATAGATCTTGGGAGCTGAGGGAATTCCAGATGTCCAACACCTGCAGAAGCTACTTGCAGAGCCGGAGGGAACTTTTCTCATTATCCCTCAGTCATGACTGAGGAATTCAAGTTTATTTAACTTGTGGTCACTTAGCAGCGCTCCCTACCAGTAGATGACTCAGATGCTATGCCACCTATCCCAAGAGAATACTCTACAACTGGGTTCAGAAAAATAATGTCATCCATCCTGGCATACTGGGCTTTGAACAGTTTTTCCCATGTCAATCAGGGACAACTTAAGGTGCTCCATAAACCCAAGTGACCTGCCATTGCTAGCAGACCAGGAATGACTGCAAGCAGACCAAAAATGGAGTTGCTATCCAGAAGTTAAACCACAGTCCTCTGAATACCTCCTTCCCCCTCCAAAATGGGCAGTTACTGAAGACGCTTTCCTTTAAAAACTGCAATTACCTGTGTGTGATTTGCCAGCGCCCAGGTAGTCTCTGCTACATTTCCCAGAATCTTGTGACTGGATCACAGTCAGGAAATCTTTCCCCTGTTCTCCCTGCTCCTCCAAAGTGCATCCAGCTCCCACTAACCACATGGTCTCCTTGATGTCATGGGGGTCAGAGATTGGGAGGTTAGGACTTGCTCTTGCCTTTCTATGGCTTTTTGAGGAAGAGAACTAAATAATATTATCCTTATCATCCTTAACTCTGTGTCTTTGAACAGCTCCACCCTATTGTCCTATTCTGCCCATGATTCTTGGACAAATAAGCACTTAATTTATTTTTCCTGTTGGTTTTGTGTGGTTTTTTTGGTTTCATTTGGGTTTGGGTTTGGGTTGGTATTTGGTTTTTGGTGTTTGTTTTTTTTTTTAATTATTATTATTATTCATTTTTCTTCTTCTTCTTATGATCAGGTTTAAATTACCGGTTGGCTCTGGGTAAATGTGCTGCACTTGGCCATAGCAGTGGGGCTTTCTGACAGAGGTTTTGTTCGCATTAAGGTTGCTCTCTATGCTGCTGGGATGCCACCCTAATGTACCAACCCAGGAAGAGAGCTGAGTGAGTGTCAGCCAACACTTTGAGACACCACACATGGCAGGATGACAGCTGGTGGTCAGGGAACATCAGGACTATTGTCAGCATTGAAATGGACTGGGGTACACTTTTACATCAAGTAACAAATTGCATCTTTGAGGTGTTGTATCAGCGCTACTTACTACAGCAAGGGTGGGAAGTCAAATTGCCTTTTCCCTTGAATTAATTCTACAGGAATGTAGGAATTAGGATTTCAATCTGATTAATGTCCCACTCACTTAAGTGTCTTCAATCAAGGAGCAGGAGTCCTGAAAGCTTCAGAGAAAGAGACAAAACCTGGTAATAAATTTTTTTATAGATGCTTTTGAGGAAAAATTCTTCCTAATATGAAAGTTATTTTTGAATGAAAGGTTCATGAAAGATGAGCACAGATTTCTTCTTCTGGCGGCTTCTGCAGTGGAAGGAAACAGTTGTGTCCCAAACAAAATGCAGTGACGGGCTTGAAATTGGAAAAACATTTCTCAATACAGCTATATATTACGTCTATTATTTAACAGGATAGTCACTATCAAAATGGGCTAAAGACAAATCTAAACAATTAGTTTTTTTTTCTGTTTTCAGAGACATTTTAGAGTTTTCAATGTTGGTATTGGATGGAGACTTAACCAGAGCGTCCTTACTATTATTAGGGATTCAGTGGTCATGGGTAATAAATTTAAACACACTTGCATCAAAATTAATCAACTTTTACACATAACTTAATTTCATAATCTCAAATCAGATAATTTTTGTCAATATTTTTTAATCTTCCTGATTTGAGAAGCATCTTTCATATGTTGAGGAGGGGGTCTCTGTTAATTCCTCAGCACTCCCTCAAGCCTTTCAAAAACCCTCCAAATGGCAGTGGGTTTTTAGGAAAGCTGGTGATCACCACTGAGTCTTGGGCTGTACTGTAAGCTGAATGCTTTGAGGTAGATTCTGTGTTTGTTAAAGTGGGTCTACTTTTATGACTCAGTTTTTCCTGCAGCAGTGAAAGAGCAGCATATTCTGCTTCACTTATGCATTTAGATCTGACCAGCAGTTGCCTGGAGCTGAGTTCATGTATTTGCAAAATACTGTTTTCCCTGCACTGGATCCCGAAGGGTGTTTGCCTCAAGAGTTGTGTCCAGGTCTCATCTTCTGTAATGCTTCTGTACACTATTGTTACTTTTTTGCTGTTGCTTTGCAGGACGGAGAAATACAAGGTAAGAGAATCATATTAAAATTGTTTGTACCTCTCGAGACTGTTGCACATTCCATTAAAATACATTTTTGTACTATAGTTACTCAGTCTTCTTCATGATATAAACCAGGGGTGGAAATGCTGCTGAGACTGTGCTGCTACACCTTGATCAGTAGGAGCGAGGCCAGATATGGCTTCTGGGAGATGACTGCTAAAATACCAGACTCAGGTTCCACCAATCCAGCCCACTGGAAATCCTGCTGCCTCTGTTTCTTTAGACAGAAGAGGCAAATAAAAAGCATGATAATTCTGAAAGGACTCAACTAGCAGTGACGAGGACTTGGCTAGAGGGTTTATAGGGCTTGCCAATAAAATGGTGCCCCAGATCTGACACTCCACAGAGGGCAGGACAGGGTTGGCATGGGGCTGGACCTGCCCAGCCCAGCGACTTCTTGCACTGACAGTCCCTGTGCTCCACACAGGAAGTGGTAAAGGGCTTTTCCTGCTTCCCAGCTCACCCAGCCCTATAACATGGCCTCTTTCTCTTGTGCCTTCTTCTAGGTGCAAACTGTTGCTCTGCATTAGGGTGAGCACCCTCCTGGGCTTACTTCTGTGGTGCTTTCCCTGGGCTTCCCCCCTCCACAGTCCCACTGTATTTAGACATAGTTGGTGCAGCCTCTACTGCAAATAGAAACTCCCTTATGGTATGCCTCCTTTTCTAACAAGAAATAACTTGCCAGAGCACTGAGTGACCAAGCCCAGACCTTGCACCAGGAGGGGTTTGCTACGTGCCTTCTTGCTTCTCTGCTTTTCTGACTTTCATAAGGACTCTCTACCTTGTAGCTTCTGCCAAGAAACTTTTGCCTTGATAAGGGGAAGCATAAGAAAGATTGCCTGCAAACAGACAGACAGACAGACAGAATGATAACTGCCTTTTGGTACAGAGGTTGAGCTCTGCAGTCTCTGGTTTAAATATTTGTAAGAGGAGTCAGCAGCGTTTTCAAGATGGTCGCTTCCAGCAGACCTAGAAGTGCAGTGGAGATTGCAGGGGTAAAGTCTGGTCATAGATTACTCATAAAAAGAAAGAAAATTTAGTACAATAATCTAAATACTAGCTGACAATTTTTTTTTTTGCCAAGTTTTAGTTCAGCAGAGTTGAAATGGCCAAGTTTTCAATGCCAACAATTGAGGTTTGTAAAGGAAATACCAAACCAACCTTGGCAGAAAAAGAGGCGGACGTTAAATTACAGAGCAAAGATTGCATTGGCTCCGTAGGTGGAGAAATAAACAAGTTAAAAGAGAAAATCAGTTGGAGTTTTTCATTTTGATTCTCGTGCCTAAGCAGAAAAGGATAGGATTTACCAGCAATGGATGAGCTGAAGCTGACGCTCAGAAGCTGTATGGAATTGCCGGTGAGGGGAGCAGGGAAGAGGACCAATACAAGGAAGTGCTGCAGAAATGCCCAGAAAGTGTTGGTCAGTCTCATCATGTAACGACTTAAAAAGAGCTCAGACCACAAATTCTTGACTGTTCTTAATTTAGAAAGTGCCCAAAAGACACATTCTTTAATGCAGACAATATTTTTTCTTGGATACAGTGTTGACAATATACACTTGTCATTGGACATTTGTGTAATTTTTCCTGTATGATGTCTAAGAGCATTCCCCTAAATTCCTGCAGCAGCAGCTAAACTCACCATGAGCTATCTTCATCCAAGAGGCATTCCACTGAAGTTGGAGAAACTATTTGCTGTGTGTGGACTGCCAAGTCATACAGGAGCAAGGACAGCAAACTCTTCCCCTGAAATATTATTTCAGTCATTTCAGTTTTATAAAGGACAGAGGAAAACATTACCCATTGCATGGGTAGACTTATTTGTCTACTCCAGAAAGCTGAATGTATTTCATCCAGAAGTGACAGTGGTGCCTGAAAAACCACTTCTCAGAATTAGAAGGTTGAATTTGTAGTGCAGCTTGCCAAGCCCAGGTTTCCACACCCAGTAATGGATGGACATCAGAGAGGTCACAGTACAGAAATGCCAAAGCATAGGTGCTGGCTCTTGTACAGGACCAACCTAGAGATAACTTGGTTGAGTAAATCCTACACCATGTACAACCCTGACAGATGGGCTGTATGTGTAGTTAGTGGCAGAGACTGACAGTCAGTGGCCATAATTTCCATACTGCTTTCTCCAGATTACCTATGAATGACCACCCTACTGCTTTTAACTTGCTAGCTCAATGCTTTCCTGTTCAATTAAACAGATGTCATGCTACAGCAGAGTATTTCTGGAGCTTCTGCTGTAAATTATTCATACCTGGAAAAAACCCAGCCCAAGCTAATACTTGGGTACTCAATCACATACAGCAGTCACCTATACATTCCTTTTGTAATGGTTGTAGGCATTTGCAATAAGCTGCTGCAGTTTTCCTTACTCTGTGCTATGTTTCTCTGTTCTTTCTCAGTTCTCCATTTCTGCAAAATTGTGTTTAACAAATTTTAAGTAAATATGAGAGTGTTCTACCATGTGCAAATATGTAAATCTCGTGATACATAGGAATACACAGACTATTTCTGCTCTTAGAATCCTAGAATAGTTAGGGTTGAAAAGGACCTTAAGATCATCTAGTTCCAATCACCCTGCCATGGGCAGGGACACCTCACACTAAAATCTTCCTTAATCAGTGCATGAACTTAGTAGTTTTAACCTACCAAATAAAATTAGAGATAAGTTTTACTGATTAAAGGATCTGTAGCAGCAGGAATACATCATTTAGTTTACCTTATATGCTTCTAGCTAGAGGTAAATAAGATATCATTGCAGTACCATTCACTTTGTTATAGCTCTGGCTGTGTCAGCATTCATATTACAAACCTCTTCTTCCAGGGGTTTATAACTCAGCCATAAAATGTGCTCCAGTCTGAAACTTGGCACACAAGGTCTGAGTCTGGCATAAAGTTATTTTACAAAAAGGTAGAACAATGCATTAGCTCTTTGGCCGTATCCAAGTTATAAGTGTTTAGGATCTGAGCAACGGCGTGGGCCTACATAGAAAAGCCAGTGAAGACCTGCCCAACACATCGCTCCGGCCTTGCCCTTCTAGGGTCACTGTAAAATCCAAGTGTGCCAAAGCTTAAAACGTTTCATGAGGTTATGCACCCTGAAAAGTTTGATTCAAATGGTGAAGTTTCAGCAGTCAGTGTTGTGCATTGCATTCCTACTGCTCCTGCTGTGAGCAGAGCTCAGCTGAGCTCCCGAATGGCTTTTCATGGTTCACAATGGAACCCCAGACCTGCTGGGATGGTTAGGATGTTGAGGAATGATCTCTGTTTCACTTGCGCTTGTACCTTCATTTCCCAGACTGTGAGTATCGCCTCTCAGGGCCTGACTCTTCCCTTCCCTTCTCTGCTGCCCTGCAGCAGGAGCCTGGACCTCTCTTCAGACACCACTCCCTGCAGCTCAGGGCCATGCAGAGAGCTGGGCTGCCTTCCACTCGGGGCGGGGGACGGACACAGGACACGGGGGGAGGGCCCTGCAGCCACAGCCGGCCTTTGATTTCCTATCAATCAACCACACAGGAAAAGGTCCCATAAACAGCAGAGTTGTTAAAGTCATCGGGTTTCACATTCGGAGACTGAATTTGCCATGCCCTTCCCTCGGGGCTCTTGGGAATTTACAGTGTTACGGTCCCCGAGGCCAGGTGTCCTTCCTCAGCCACAGCCTTCTGCTGGCGATGGGGAAGTAGTGCTCTCAACACACAGTCACAAGCCTCATCCTCCTCCGCCACAGTGGTTACCTACCCAAAGCTCCCACCCAACGTTTTTAAGAGACCTTCTGGCATTACCGCAGGGCTTTCTCCTGCTAGTCCTGGAACACAACTTGGGGTAAGTATACATCCTTGCATTTGCCACAGAATTGCCATTTCCAGAAACAATGTATTTAAAGGCAGACACTAATAAAAGAGCTGGCAAAGCCTCTTTTCAACAAAGCGCACCTACCCCCGGCTGTTGCTCTGTGCCCCGCCTCGCATTTTCTCCCCTAGTTTCAAGAACGTGTTTTGGCTCTCTTTTCATTCCCAGCTGACCTGAGGAGCTGACTGAGCACTAGCCAGTTTTTAGTGAACTAATCAAGTTTGCCAGGTTTGTATTACACTCGCTAACTGGCAATTGTAAAAAACGCTTAGAGCGTGTAACATACAGTACTATATAGGTTCTGAGTGATTCTGTTATTAACCATTAAAGAACACGCTTTATTTAAATAAAAATAGAAAGGCTGATGAGATTTTATCTAGAATCCATCTTTAAAACATAGGCATGAAATGTGGTTTTCAAAGATTAACTCACTTTCATCTTATGATATTTCCTTTTGGGAAGCCTCAACCCTTTGGGTTCTCCATTTCTGCACTGCAGATGGTGGAAGATCATGATATTGATTGCATGTGTTTAAACATAAGACATTTGCTCCTGTTTCTTTGCTCCAAGTAATATAAGACTATACTTAGGGAAAACAGCATGAATGTGGTTTTGAGCATTTACATGCAAAAGCATAATACTAATAATGGTATCATCTTAAAGTATAACTCAAATAGACGCATAGTATTCTATAAAAATCAATTTAAAGAAAAACAGACACTGTGTTCTGACTTGTTTAAGCCAAGGTTTGCATTGGATGTACATTCAGGACATATTTTGCTTGCATTGTTCAGGTATTTATGTCATTTGGAAGGAGATTATTTCCAGTTTCCAGCAATGTAACTGATCTTCCAACTCACAGAAATAGGATTCCAGCGATTAGGTGAGTAAGTCACTGACACGACCAATTCAATTAAATATTTGGACTCTATTTTAAAATTTACGTTAACTGATAGTCACGATGTTTTGCTGTCTCTGGGAAACATTAAGGAATAGGAAGGGAATAGAGCTTAATATTATAATATGCAAGCCATTATAACAAGGATTTGGGGAGGAAAATAGGCATGTAATGTGATTCAGTTTTTTTTAATTGCATCAAACCTGTACATTGCACACTTACAGAACTCAGTAGGGTTACAGTCATGTACAACCTTCCTCTTAAATTCAGGGTAAGACTTTGTTTCATTAGCTTTTTTTTTTTTTTTCCTACCCAGGAAAGGCATATTAGAGGCACACATTAAGCGAGTATGTTTACCCTTATACTGGAAAAGCAGGACAGTTGTTTCTGTAGTGGTACCTTTGTAAAAAAAGCACAGATAACTAAAGTGCCTGTTGTCGCCAGCTTCAGTTCCTGAAGCAAAAAGATAGCAGAAGCATCCTTTCTTTCAGAAAGCATCCTGATTTCAGACAGCATCCTAGCTGTCTGAAAAGTAACATTAGAAGAAATGCTGAACCTGTGAGTCTAAATAAGAAAATGCTTTCATGGCAGTGAAACCAAATCACTTGGAAATCTTATGAAATATTTCTCCTGATAAATTGTTAGATTGAGTTTGAAATTGGAAGAGGTAACTCCTTTGCTGTGATGTTATTTGTTTGTGGTTATGGAGACAAAATGTTTTTCTC